GTTTTACCTCACACCCCAAGCAGCCTCCTTACTACTCAGCTAAATTCAGCTTGAAACTCAGCCTCATGAGGAGTGATGCCAGAACCAGGACTGCTCTAGGCCACTCTTAAGTTATTCAGTGAATTGAAGTATCTTTGAGAATTTCCCTGGTTCATATTCACATTTGACTTTAAATTGTGAAATGTTTGCTAGAGGGTGTCATGGATCTGGTCCTCATCAAAGTTACCCTTTAGGGAAATTCTGATCTTGATGTGTTGTATCAGCTCAGTTCAGGGACTTTCAGCATGTGGGGATACCCTGGAAGGAAAGGGCGTTTGGATGGTGTGAGGAAGTTGTAATGCCTAGAAAAGTCATTTTGGTAGCCTGTTTTGGGTGTCCTAAGCTAACCCCACAGAAAGACATTGCTGCAAGCTCACAGCACACAAGCTAACATTAGAACAATGACTAAGGCTAATTTAAAAGTGATTTCATCTCACTCTACTTCTCTTTGCCTTTCTCCATACAGATTATCCCCTAGCATGACTTTCTCTGCCTAAACTCCAAGGTTTCCCTCTTAGAAACCACCTATCTGTGTCAGCATGCATGAGCACCTTTCTCCCCAGCCTGCAGTCCAGTCTGAAGGTGGACCTGGACCTTCAAGGCTTTGATCAAATCATTCAAATGTGTCCACCCTGTTCTCAGGGAAAGGAGATTTAATATTTTGGAGGACATTGAAATGATCATCTTCCTTTGGGACTTAGAATTATAGAATGCCATTTACCACAGGATCTTGAAATTCATCTGTATAACTCTTCCATACACAAATATGAGAAGTCAAAGCAGCTAACGCATTCAAGGTTCCTCCAGACTGATTTCCAGTTCAGAATTTTGAACACTACCAAATACAAGATCAGAATCCCAGTGAAGTGTTGGGTCTAGTCTATTTGCCACTTCCCCCGGGTCTTCTTGATCTTTCTAAATGTGGCCCCATTTGCTCCTTTGCTTAGTAAAATTGTGGGTGACTTTCCATTGTCTCTGAACTCCTCCAACAGGCATTCACAACTTTTACCGTGGACACTACCCGGCATTTTCAGCCTCAGTCCTTCATGACTCCCCTTCATTCCCTCCATCGCACCCACAGAGGAACCCCCTCGGTTCTGCAAACATGTATGATCCTACTGTTCATTTGTACACACTGTTCTCTTCATCTGGAATTGCCTTCCAGCATTTCTTCCATTTTATCCCTTCCCCTGCATGTATGCCCACCAAAGTTCCACCCTGTCACTCAGCACTGCTCTACTGTTCAGAGCACTCTCTTATGTTCATGTTTTCAGCTTCGTACTAAATCAAAGGCTTGAGAATAGGGAGCATGCAGCACAATTTGCAGAATGTGGCAAAAACCATGTTCTCCAAAAATATTTGTTATATATAAGAACAAATGGCACCTTGGTGGTTTTGTATTCCAGAAAGTTCCAGAATTTTGGGAGGTGTTGAGAGATGTGAGTGAGGTTTGTGGAGGGAAAGGATAACCAGCTAAAAGCCAGCCAGCCTTGCCTTCTTGGCTCTGTCAGCCCTAGTGTGGTGATGGCTGTGGGGCTCACACCATAGGTGTTACCTTGAGATGACTATCAAGGCAGCTGTTGGCTCTTGTGTTCAGTACATTGTGGCAAAGATTCTGGCTGAGCCTGGCCTGCAGCCCAGGGGAGACCTGGTTGTAGAGTAACTATTTTATCACCTCCTGTATTCGCTCTTTGGGAGCCTCAGGGCAGGCTTGCATTGGTAAAGCAATTTCTGAGCATTTCCTCCTCTTGAGATATTCTGCTGACATCTTGACAGACATGATTACATCGATATTCCCAGCCCTGATCTCAGCTTCATGGGTGAGGAAATTCACAAGACATTTACTGTGCCCTGTGTGGTTTTATTCATTGGTTGGCCCAGGCCAGACGTAACATAAGTAAAAAAGTTTCTGGTTTAACATTTTCACTGTCCCATGTCAGATCCTGCCCGGGGGTTAGGGGTGGGGTGGGGTGGGGTGTAGAGATGGGGGTGTGAAACAAGAAAGGAGCTATCATTCTATACTTATCTTGTATCTAAAATGTGCTAGGCACCCTCACTGGCAGGCTTGGTGTCCTCCTTCCTTCATCCTTTGTCTTCTATGATAAATCCGGTCTAGACAGAATCAGAATATCACCGTCCAGAATCCCATAGAGAAGGTTAGAGGATCGGAGCCACAGCCCTTCAGCTCACCTCCCAGGGAGCATTTTTTCTATAACCCCACTGCACCTGTTCTTTCCTTGGTTCAATCTAGAAATTGGGAGCAAAACACCTTCCTTTTCAAAGAGTTGTACTGCTAATGGGTGTAGAGTTTCCTTTTTGAATGACGAAGGTGTTCTGGAATTAGAGTGGTAATGGTTGCACAACTTGTGAATATTCTAAAAGCCATTGAATTCTGTGCTTTGAAAGGGTGGATTTTATGGTATGTGAATTATATCTTGATTTTAAAAGAAGTTGCAGCATACTAAAACCTTGGGCAAAAAAGTTTAAATGGTGCAGCATAAAAACTAAAAGACCACTTGGCCTTTCCACACGAATGCTTCCTCTCTCTATGTGTCCAAAGGTCAAGGGGTCCTGTGGGTATTGGGGGTGAGAGGTAACTGATAGACTTGCAGCTGTCTTAGTTCCTGTTGTCAGACTGGGGTGACCTAGGCCTGAGTATTTGCTTGGCTGCTTCTACAGTTAAACAAAGGTAATGAACCTGATCGATGTGATAAGGATCTCTTAGGAAATAAAAATTTCCTTTTTTAAGTATGATAGAGGTATGAGATATGCAAGTTCCTCTGAAGAATAACAAGAGGGGCTAAAGTGACATGGGGGTGTGTGGAAGAAACACTGGGCTGGATGAGAGCAGGTGCTGGCAGGAGGATGAACAGGTGTGGCTCTGTTTGATTTAATTATGCCTTTAGTTGTTCTATTAAGGGCCTTTACTGCTCCTGAATTTTATGTCTGTGGTGGGGAGGAGATGGAGTTTCCTGCAGTGGTAGGAAAGGGACTTGGAGCAGGAAGGTGTGTTTCCAGGGAGGAGACTTTTAATGCTTTCATCCAAAGCCTGGATGAGTGATGAGAAAGGGTCAGTGCAGCTACGGAGTGATTGGAGGGCTCACAGGAAGTGTCATGTGGCGGCTGCTGGTGTAAGAAGGTACCATAGAGAGGTGAGCCCCAGGGCTTCTCTTCACCTAGAAAACTAGAGAGCCTCCTTAGAGGAAAGGTGAACTCAGGAAGCTGGTGTCATGGCCTCACTTAACAAATGGAGTTGTTGTGCCTATGGAAAATCAGGAGCAGGATACAGGAGTCGTCCATTCCTCTACCCTCTTCCAACTGCAGCTTCCTGTATGCTTGTCTCAGTCACTTCCCGGCGTGTGGACAGTTTATAACCCAACAGAGCCTGGACTCTTCCAGTGAGAGGGTTGAGGATGAAGGGAACTTTCCTCACCTTGTCTTTGCTATTCCCTCATCCCAATTTTACTCTTGCCTGAGATGGTAGGATGGTAGGATGAGACAGGGAATCATGTCAATGCTAAAGACATGTAGCAAGATTACTTTTTACCTCTATGTTCTCACAAAACTATGTGACACTTGCTACCATCACTCTCAGTGGGTTGCTTTGGAGAAATTGTTGGGGGTTTCATCTAGGTGAGTATCTTAGTGCCTAGAACAGTGCCTGGTGCATAATACATGCCTGATGAGTATATGTCTAGTAAATAGATTAATGAATACATCTATAAGTTAATAAATAAAGCAGAACATCATGCGCGCCCTCCCACAAATAGTGAAAGATATTTATAAATTCCATAAATACTTAAAATTGCTTTCCTCTTTATGGTTGCGCTACTTGATGAGAAAACTATTCTAAATGTGTCTTATTAAATCTTTTCTTATGTCTGTGGTATTATTTTTTTGGTCAAAGATGATAAATTTGGGAAGAAGAACCCATGCCTTTGTTAAAAAAATGGAGATCTATAAAGCTTTGCTCTGCTAAAATGTATCCAGTGGAGTATTAGTTCCCTAGGGTGGTGATAGTTGCTAAAGAGAAAATGATTTGGGGGCCAAATGAAGTTCAGCAAAGTCTAGTTCATTAGGGCTGTCTGCTATGGGATGTCTCAAAACTTTAATGTGATATTACTTAGGGGTATTGTGAGAGGGATATGGGACCCGGGACTTCTGCAGTACTAATTTAGCACTGGTGTGCATGCCTTATAGGTTTTGGTGTTTTGTAATAATCTTGTGAACGATAGTCTGGTGCCTGGAACCAGGACCCCGAGAACAGGTGAGTGATAAAGGTTCACTTCTTCACCACCCTCCCAACTCTGCTTTTACAAAAGAAGAGAAAAATTAAAGGGGATTAAAACATTACCTGCTACAGCAAGTGTCAAACATGCCCAGTGGTCTATGCAGCAAGTGATTGTGGTTTTAGAAGTAACTTGTCAGCCCCAATGGCTCTCTAGTAATCTCCCAGGACTGTTCCATCATTGCCAGTTCTCTCCACAGTAATTACCAACTCTCTCCTTGGTAGATTCACTGGTGTTTCTAGGAGTAATTGCTAGGGAACTCACACTTTTAAATTTACAAGAGCCAAACAAGCTTGTATTTACAAGAGCCAAACAAGCCTATACCTCTTGGGGCTATCAGAGTATTTATACTGTGCTAGGTAAAAGATGTTATTGATCACAAAAATATGGAGAAGAACTTGAATTTTCACCTCAGTGTTTTTCTCAATGGGTGAGAAACTGACTCACTAGATTATGGTACAAAGCCCTAAGGGCATAAACGTGTTTCCTCTCAGGGTCTCCTCCCCTCCTTGGGATTTAGAGCAGTGGTCAGCAAGATCTAAACCATTCTTGGAACTCCTTGTCATCTTCTACGCTAGCTAATCCATATCAGTATTTAAGAAGGAGATGAAAAGAAGACTTGTACTGGTCCAGCCAGAATTCTGACCTGTATCTTTGGATTTTGTCTCCCAGAGATCTCAGGGAACACGGAGGACATCCCTCTGGTACGCTGGAGGCAGCAGTGGTTGGAGAACGGCACTCTGCTTTTTCACATTCATCATCAAGATGGTGCCCCGAGCCTCCCTGGACAAGATCCAACTGAAGAGCCCCAACATGAGTCAGCAGAAGAAGAGCTGAGGATTCTCCACATCTCAGTCATGGTGAGAACTGTACATCTTAGCCTCTAAGGTCACATCTTATATTTTCTGGTGCCTTAGACATGAGCTCTATAAGATCCAACTCCATTGTGAATGTCAATCATGTTAACAAATAAATTTCCCACTTATGAGAAACAGTGTAAGTAAAAGTGGCAATTATTTCTACAGCACCACTACCCCGTTGTCCTCTCTAGGAACATGCCTGGACATATTTATTTCACAAGCCACGGACAGTGTCAGATGGGGTTAATGGATTGTCTTAAAGGCATCATCCACCTAGATCAGAATATAATAGTTGTCTGTTAATATTTGCTGAATGTCTGAATTACCAAACTGCTACCAGCCCCCCTTCTCTTTTCTCTCTGAAGGGATATAGTCATCCCCTTGGCTTGCTCAAAAGGCACATCCACAGATACTTACCCCCATTTCTAGCATGGCTCAGAAGTTCAGAAATTTGAGACCCCTCCCCCCAGAAATTAGAAAATTCTTCCTAAAATTCTAAGAACTTGTGCTTTAGAATTTCACTAGAAAGTAAACACCACAGTGGTAGGTGAAGGGTTTATTTCATGTTGTTTTTTTCGCTAATGTATCCTCAGCACCTAGAATAATGAATTCACATAGTCAATGTTTAGTAATTCTATGTAGAAAAAGAATGAATTTCCTATTTGATATTTTATGTATTGTATTGATTGTATGATTTTGGTGTTGCCCTGGCAAAACCTGTATACCTATAAACCTAGGGTAGTCTGAACACAGGTTGATTATCCAGGGATCACATGTGTGGAGATGTGGGCTGTTTCACTGTCAAGAAGCTCAGTAGAGAACCATCCTGCGTATTATTCTAAACTTAAATTCATCTCTTATTCCAGTACTGTCACTACATGCCTTTAACTTTTGTGAATCAGCTTGGAGAAAATAGAGCTCTGTGTGTGTGTGTGTGTGTGTGTGTGTGTGTGTGTGTGTGTGTGTGTGTGTGTTTGACATGGAAAATCCCCCCCATAAATTCTCAGATAAAATCTTGAACATAAGCCTTCCACTTCCATTTCCTCCTCAACCAGCATCCACATGAAAGGTTGACTTGATAGATTATCGACATAAAAACAAGTTACTTGATTTATTTATTTATTTTTAAAATAATACTTTCCTTGTTCTAACTTTATTTTTTTAAAGATTTATTTATTTATTTATACAAGCACTGGGTACAGTCAGAAGCGCGGGAGGGTGAGAGAATTCACCAGAGCCAGGGTGGGGAGCAGAACAGGAAGAAGGACCGAGGTACACTGCTGAGGGGAGCAGCGGGCGGCAGGAGAGGTCTGCGCGCCATGCGGGACCCTCCTCCGGTAGCCGGGGATCGAACCAGCGCTGCAGAGGCTGCGGGCAGCTTCACAACCCAGCGCTCAACCGCTGTGTCACCAGGGAGGCCCACAAGTTACTTGATTTATACTAGATGGTGGAGAAGAGTCCTTGAAGAGCGAATGGTAAATCTCAATACCAGGTAAGGCCAGAGAGCAGGCAGGTAAATGAGATTGCTACATTTCACATTTACAAATTAATTGAAGTTTATAAAACATGAGAGTTGTAGTACTTGCACTTCTGTAATCAAAGATCAGTGTTTCCTCTCTCAGAATTGTAGTTTCCAGAGACTAAGATTAGGCAGATCCATTGAATCAGCCCTAGCATTGGTTGGGACAACAGAGGTAGAGGCCACATTGTCTTCACCTTTATAATGTGGTCTGATTGAAAAGAAGGCACAATGGTGGACTTCCCCCCTGCTGTACACATCTGCCCATCATTGTGGAAACCCTAGTCGTGCTTTTGTTTAGGTTTATTTCTTTTGGTTCCAAGTCATCTCAAAGAAACTGCTTTTGTCACACCAAAGAAATGTTTAAGGTAAAGAAAAGCATATAGACATCCCTAAAGATTATTATTGAGTACAAATGCATCTGAAAGAAAGACCCTGAATACAAGCTATTGAGATAGGCAATGCATCAGGTAGAAAGTGCGTTTAGTGAGGACCAGGGAAGTAGTGTGAGGATCCACGCAAAGACATCCTATAGCTTGTCTTAGTTGGTACATCGTAGTTTAGTGAGAACCCCACTGTCTATTCTCAGACTGAGATGCTCCAATAAGACCTCTAGAGAAGTGTGTTTGTGTGTGTGTGTGTGTGTACATGCACACACAGGTGCACACATGTGTTTGCGGGGGTAGGTGCCAGTGAAGATAGACATATCTGATCAAGGATGCCAAAGGATTTGAATAAATAAGCTGTGCCCTTAAAAACAACAACCCTTTTTAGAAACCCTATGCTACTAATGCTTTCTTTTTAGACTCCCGGGCAGGGATCGATGAGCAGTGGACTCTGAAATGGAGAGAGAACAAGATTCAGCCTTCAGCCTGTTTCCGAGATCTTTCCTTCATATGCTACCAGTCACCAATGGCCAGTCACTAATGACATTCTATTTTCCAAACAGAATGGAAGAGATTATTTATTCCGCTAAATTTTAATTTATTCCATGTTATTTTCAACTAAAGAGGTGGAGGCAGAGGTTAAAAGAACATGAGCAAAAGTTGAAAGTGGGCAAGTTGTGTGCTTGTTTCTGATTTGGCCCCTCAGATGTGGATAGACCCACAACTCCATGAAAAATTTATGAAGGTCGTTGACCTCTGCAGGAGAACAGGGATTCCTGGTGAACTGAAGATGTAGGTACTCCCTCCCACCCTTGTCAAAGATGGTGTGGTCAGTGGCGTCTGCTGCAGCCCAGTTTCCCTTCTCACCATCTTCCATTCCCATTCCACACTGCACACCTTCACACTACCTCTCTTAGCCTTAATATTCTAATCTAGAAACAGTTTCAAAGTCTGAAGTTCTGTGTCTGCCCTCAGCTTAGAATCTAGCCTGAGGGTATTGTGTTTGAAGCTGTGGTTCCTGGAGTCTCTGGTGGCTTCTTAGACTCAGGGATTGGTAGATTTTCCATCAAATCGTAGAATGTAAGCCTTAACCCTTGTGTGTCTTTCTCAACCCGTATCCCCATAATAAACTGGCTTGATAGATTACCTGCATATAAACAAGCCACTTTATTTAAACTATAGGGCTGAGAAAAGAGTCTTTGAATAGCAAATGGTAACCTCGGTGTCCAAAGTGGAATACTATCTACTTCTACCAAATACCTACCCAAGATCTAAAGCATATTTGATGCACTTTTGTTATATCCTTTGCGGGTAAAGTAGGTAGCCATTCGAAGTAACTGGAATAACATCTATGTCAGAAGACAGCAAAATGCTTTGACTAGTAATGGTTCTGGGGAGCAAAATCACTAAAATGAAATCTTATTATCCAAACCCTGTTAGTTAGGAAATAACAATAGCAGAGCTATTTTTCATTAACTATAATGATCAATATTGATGCAGTTTTCAGTTTGGATCCAAACAGCATAATTTGAAAAAGGGAAAAGTTAAGATTATTAACAAAGCATGAATACACCCAACCTTTTCTCTCTCGTTAAGAAAATGTATATTTAAAGGCTTAGCTGATAATCCTAAATATGTCCAATATGTGCAGAGGGAATTTAATGGTTTTATGAAAACCATCAAGTTTACATTTCTTTCATTTTGTATTTACACTTTTCTCATCCATATTGTCTCAATGCAGGGACCGTTGTTTATTTTTATATTTTGCATTTACTCTGTTTTGTTTAAAACACAAAATATAAGTCACAAGAGAATGAAAAGAAAAGGAAACCCTTTTTTGTACCCCTATGACATTGTATGAATGAGAATTTGTAAGTCTTTTCTTACAATGCACCCACTATAAATACACCATCAGCAAAACCGTGGGCTTGCAGAAAACCAATACCTCAGCTGGGAAGTTGGCAATTTAAAACTTTGAAAAACCTTTTGCCTTTTTTATTTTTCAATCACATCCTAAAATTTTTGAATTATTTTTTCAAGGAGGTACTATTTTTTCCTTTGCGTATAATAATTGGATTTCCCTCCTGAAAGCTTATATTATTTCTTTGAGGGTCAAATGATGTATTTTAACCTCCTGCATGATTCAAACTTGGCTGAAGAGATTTATTTCAAATTGTGCAAGATAATTGACATTTAGAACTAAAAAAGTACACAAGGATACACTTTTGCAAACTCTGGTCCCAGTGAAAAGCAAAATCATCAAATGAAAATTGATGTGTGAGTTTAAACCAGAAGTCAAGGAATTCTTCATTTATGAGCAAAATTGTTTATGCCATGAAAGATCAGGTTTTAATATACCTTTCCAACAGATATTCAGGCACTCTATAGATTTAAATTTCCTCATACTTCAGTTAATTTACCATATGATCTACATTTTCTTCTTAAAGTCTGTAAAAGAATTTAATGATGTATAATAGAATTTTTATGTATGTTATGTTTGTAATGAGCGACGGCAGTGTTAATAGGCTTCCTAGAAGCACATAGGTTGAAGTACATTTTTCACAGCAAGTAGGCTTTCGAAAATGCTTTGGTTTGATACAGATATTTTGTGGTAATAACTCCCACTGGTAGAGAATATCTTTTGTAGTTAAGCCATTTTAGGTACAATTTGCAATTATGAAAAAAATCATCTTTGACCTTTTGGTCATCCCCTAATGATTTTGTGACTGGCTCCCATGATTCAAGCCTGGGCACTGCTCGGACCCCTAGCCCTGGTGGGTTGGTGCCTTTCAGCTAGTGCCAGCAGGCCCCTGTGTTGTGGCCCTTGCTTGCCAGCTGCCATTAGGACCTTAGCCTATCAGGAGGCCCACAGGAGCCTGCTGACACTGAGTTTTCTTTTGGGAGAAACAATATCAAGAACAAGGTTCAGAGACAAGAACCTATTGTAAAGCCTTAGAGTCCAGGAGACAAAATGGATAGTTTAAGCCGTTGTCTTTCTGGGGAAGTAACACTTAGGGCCAAGCAGATCCAAAACCATGGATATCCCTAGGGGGCCTCCAGGATCATATGTCCAGGACTGCAGATACCTTTGTGCC